AATAATTTTACCACAGTAAACTAACCCACCAATCCATGCTGTAATAATATATTCACCGACGGGGACCCACCGTGATCAATCACGAATGTCGAATGGCTAGAGCCACGGGTTGTCAGTTGGTTCCTCTAATGGTAAAAAAATACGACCGTCAAATTATCAGTGGAATCGTAGTCGATCGAGCATCGTGGCTGGAAAACATTTCGTCGAACGTGTGTGGTAACTACGATTCCAAGGACCGGTTATTCGTTAGTATTACAAGGCAAAATGCAGAGTTGCGAAAGCCCACGGTGTTGATAGCACTGCTGCTGTTATCAGATTACTAGGGTATTACATACCATGTGGCGCTGGAGATAGATCGATAACATTATGCGTTGGATTGTGCCGTACTTAAAATCTAAAAACGCTGCGAAACCCGCGTGACGCGATACACGCGCGAAATTCGCTGGAATGCAGGTGCCCATTCGCTGACAATTCCCTCGAATCGAGAGTTAATCATCGCCAGGCGAAGTGGGTCAATGACACAATTACACAACGCCTCGGCTTACTCGCTCATGCCTGCATTTATGAGCTTTTGTTGGAACAGGCGCAACGCGTACAAATATAACTCCTAAGCTGCGATATCTCTCTCTCGATGTCGCGAGGCGTGTACAAACTTTCGGTTAAATAATTTCGATTTTTTTTTTCTTTCTCTATTTGCCGTGAAACGACTGCTTCACGAGCTGTTATCGTGCGCGTTACATCCACGCTGTTACAGGTTCACCGAAAATTTGCCTAAACCTTTTTATTTTTATTCCGCGAGCTTTTTCTTAAGAGGCCGTCAAATTTGAAAACTGTGTGGTGATCGATGTTCGAAGAAGGAAATTATTATTAGCGGGGTACACTAATGTTGATTCGATTTTTCTTCTTTTTTTTTTCAAAAAATATCTTTCGATGCTTTTCTCTTTGGATGTAAATTACTACATAGAACTAATCGTTAAAGAAGAATGTTTCGTTTTTCATTGTTGTATTTTTATTTGGTTATCAGAAATAAAAATTCTTAAAAAAAGATCTGTTTTCCTTTCGCGCACACGATAATAGCCTCTTAAGGGAGACGGCATCTTCAATGGTCGAACGGGTCCGGCTTCGCTATTTCATTTAAAAAGTGTAAATAAAAACTATTTCTATATTATTCAATACATATATAATAAACCCTAGAAAATATATTTTTCTTATCGAGTCAATAGTTTTTGAAAAAATAAATTCCTAAACGTATAGCTACCTCCTAACACTAAGTTTACGCAGCACGGTCATTTTCACTCATTCCAAATTTCACAAGGTTTTTCAAAAACCGTTTATATTTTCTGAAAGCCATACAAGCTGACTTTTGTCCACGTAAAATGGCAAGCATTTATTCAAATTCATTTGTATTCAAGTCTCCTAATTAATTTTATTAAATTGACTTCATTTATCGAAGCATTACTTCAGTAATAGGAATCTGATAAGAAATCTCCATGATCCTAGTGTTAAATGTCCTTGGACGTAGCTCCCCAAACAAGGCTTCATACCGCAGCAATTTGACCGCTTAGCCAAATCAATACCGTCACTGTCGTCGCGATAATTGTCGCGTTTAGAATACTTGAGCGCGACGAGAGTGCACCGCACACAGATAGACCGTCTCCGATGGAACAGACTCGTCGTTGTCCCTCTTATTTTCTGCCGCGTGAGCGTCCACGTGCGGGTTGTGCACGGCGGCATACACGTGGTCGCGCGCATGCCGATTTCTCAGCCCGTGCGATGAAGTTTCAAAGCTCACGGCCACCCCCCTCTCGCGCTCGTCCCTCCCCACGTGTTGGTTTTCGCGCGTTCAATTTCGCTCTTTCTGGGATCGTCATCGCCACAGATATCTACAGGATGGGCCAAGTGAGCGTGACAGTCATCGCTTCGTTATCAGTGAATTTAGAAAAAAAAAAAAAAAAAATGTCAAATGCGAAAGACGAACGGTTCAAAAATTGTATTATACATTCGCAGGATTAGATATCTTTTTTATAAGTGCAATGGTGCATATAAGTGCGATTGATGCTTGCCTTTTTCTATAAATGATAATAACCAAAAAAATCCGCCCTTGAAAAGGTTAAAGACACTTTTTTTTTTAAATAAATGCACAAATAATTCACGTGGTACTAACTTACTGCGTGAAACAATTGTATGTATTGCACATCTAGAACTGTATGCAAAAAATTAAAAATAGTCATGTCGTCGATCTTGGTAGGTTTAGTGGTAACGATCTATAGTATAGATCTCTGTGTCGTCATCGTGCAGCGTAGTTTACGTTCAAGAGAAAACATGTGCTGGTAGCCGTGCTCGACCTTGGTCCCACGCGGCCATTGGCCGGAACCAAAGGAAGCCGACGACGACGATTGGCCCGCTCGATTTTAGGCGAGAGCTAGAGCTCATGCATGCGTTCATCACGCACCCGTCTAACGTGGAATCTTGGCGGCAAAATTCAACCACAGAGGAGATCTAGCTCGCGCGCTCTGCATCGCCGACCTTGTGCGGGCATTGACCGTCGTTTTCGCCACCGTTGGCTGCCTTTGTCGCTTTGCCACGGCCTCTGTCTTTCGATCCTAATCGCCGTAGTTATTTCTTTCGCGGGGCCTCGAGCCGCGGCTCGCGGCGATATCCCTATTGGCCTCCCACCATTCATTGTCATCGAGTTTAACGCGAAGGAAGTACTATTTACTGTTCACTCTGAAATTTGACACTGGCTTTTTAGGTTTCCTTTTCGTGTCTTTTGGGGGTATTTTTTTATTTTGAGAATGAAAGAGTCGCGAATGAGGGAGAATGAGTCGTGAAATTATTGGTAGACACAGGAAATGACAGGGATGTGGAAGATGGAAAAAGCAACAAAAGATTTTCCTATACTTTTTATTTCATTCCTGGGGTATTAGAGTATTTTAGAAGCTATTCATTATTTAAAACCAAAATGTAAGAACCAATTTTTGCAAGCTTTGTAGAGTACTAGAGTAGCTGGAGTAGATACTCTTCCATCCTTTAAAGGGAATCCCTTGAAAATTCATTTTCAAGTATTTTTTTGGATTTTTTGTTTTAAATTTATAAGAAATTTTTTGATAGCATATTGCACATATTTATTTATATTTTCTATTATACGTAATAGATTTTTAATAAACTTAATTAAAATTAAATGTAACGCAAGTGATTCTATACAGTCCCTTTGAAAAAAATATGTTCATGATTGTCACTGTGTCGGTCATTCTACTCATATGAATCATATGTATACGTGACACAAACTAGAATAATTAAAAAATATTGAATATTAAGAAACTAAAAACATTACGAATCTAAAAATATCGATTTTTATTGATAAATCGAAAAAATTGTTATTTTTTTGTTTCTTAATATCATTGTTAGCTAAAAAGGATATTCTACACATTTTTTTTTAATTATCATCACTACCTTATTGTCCTGTTCTATCGCAAATGAAATAATTATGAGAGTTATAAGTTATAAGGTTACAAGAGGAGTAATCTACGGGATTAAGAAGTGTAATATTTAGATTATGGACCTACAAAACTGTGAAAAATAAACGATAATACTATCATCTAAAACTATCAAGAAAAAAAAAACAATTTCATGCAACATTATTCGAGACGAATAAACTATGGTCTTATATAAAGCAACAGGACCTTCTTGAAAATTGATTCTTTTAAAATAGCTGACGTATATTTAGTACTTGGATGTTCGCGATTCTAGTTCTATAGACGAAAATAAAATTCTACAGTAGTTCCCGTGTTATTTATTTGTTCGAATAACAGGGAGCCTTGGTGAACGCCACACGCTTCGGTTGAACGATCTCGCCTGGCAATCTTTAGTTCATATTTGCTATGGTAGACTAGTCACGAATATAAGTTTTTGGAGCGAGGCATCCAGTTGAAACGGAATCATTTTTACACGCGTACATATTTATAAAACATTAATGAAACATTAATTTGGAAACTATGAGATTTTCAGTGGAAGTGGAGGATGCGACCCTTAAGGGAGCATTAGAATAAATACATACATAATTTGGAAATTGCAAACCTATCATTTAATTTAAAGAAACTTCTTCGATAGCACGAAGATACGAATACTTATGCGACTGATTGTGTATAACTATAAATAGAAAAAGAAATATAATTTAAATATTTAAATGAATTATAATTTATGACTTGAGAGTTAAACTATTCCCTTCCACTTATTTCTTATCTGAAAAGCAAGCAAACGTCATCGCGAATTATTCAAAAAATTCACCATATTTACAGAGGATTTTATTCGTGTTTCTACGTGATTCGTTTCGTTGGGAAGCGAATTAGATATGCGATAAAAATCCGTGTCAGTTTTATTGGGAAAGGGAACGAGAAAATTAATTTATGCCGTTTCCGGGTTCTATCGTACCGTACGTTAGACGTGCGCGGAGTAATAGAATCGTTGTACGCGTTAGAGGAGGAAACGGTGACCATCGTAGGTAAACTGAAAAACCCTAGCTCATAAAACTCTGTACCAGCTGGCCTTGGAATATGAATAGATTTGCCCGCAAAGAGTGCATTGTCCCGTTGCGTAACTGAGCGCGTGTTATTTGCACGTTTCCTCCAGGGAGAAGGCTGTACCTTTCACAAATTAATTTCTATTATTAATGTGGATTTCATTAGGAATTTTCTTCAATTGATTGTTCAATATTTGTTGACCTCTGAGACTCTACTTAAGATTCTGAGATTCGTAAAAAAAACATTTCTTGGATCTTTAAGAGCATTCTGCGTGTAGCCATTTATGTTTCATGATTAGCAGTTAATTTATTTTATATTTTATTCAATTAAATTGACAAGTTAATTTATTTTATATTTCATATAATACTTCGTAGTACTCGTTTTTTTAATCAGAAATTTAATTGTGGAATTTAATTCGTATCGAAGGATCTCCACAAAGAATGAAGTAAAATAAAATAAAATTGTAAATTAAACCGATATATATCTTTTATTTTCGTACGTTTTTAGGAAACTAAAATTCTATGTTCAATACCGGAAGGGACCTAAAACATAAAATTCGAAGCAACTAAATATAATAGGTACATTTAAATCACGCCAGTTATATTTCATTCCAACTGAATTATATGTTATTATAATTTCAAGCTCGCTACTTAATTTTTCAACAATGTTTCCCCGCATAAATTTAATATTTTTTATATTCAAGTGCCCTGATCCCTGATCACAAGAGCCGTGAATTAAAGTTTTCTGTCCGTGGAATTTCGAAAACCACGTTTCCGATCGTTTCACGCTTAGCTGTCATTACGATATAATGTATCCAATATTATTATCGTAAGATTCAAGCGTGCTATTAATACGAGCGATTAAAAACTTTATAGAATTGGTCGCGCGATAATGTAATTTCGACGATAGCAGGGAAAATGGCAGTATACATAAACAATGAGAAATAACCGCGCATTATCTGTTTAATGGTTCATTCAGCCAAAAATCTTACTCGCAAATCGTCCAATGACTGGATGACGGCACGATCGTATACGACAAACACGCTCGCGAGAATCTTTCCAGTTACATAATCGCTCTCGTAATATTTTTTGCAACGTCCACGTACCGAGAACGAAGTGGACAGCATTCTTATCTGGATGAAAATTTCTAGATCAGAATGATTAACAATCTGCTTATATCTATTTCTCTTCAAATCAAGATTAATGTTAGGATGAAATATTTCACAACGTAGTCAGAATCAAAAATATTAATTAAAACTAATTAATTTAAATTGAACGAAATTTTGATTTTAAAATAGAATATGTTATAGCGAAGAAAAACAAAGAGTTTACTGTTGAATCGAATAAACGTTGCGAATTGATTTAAATGAATTCAACAAAAATTTAATGAAATTATTTAAAAAAATGAATACTGCGACAAATGTCATGTAATTTCCAGTGATCTCGAAACAAAATTTAAGCTTCGTAGAAATTTCCACGAGCACTAGTCAGACAATCAGCGTGTTAAAAACGTAATACATGGAGTCTTATTTTTAATTTCCTTCGTCTTTTTCAACGGACGACCAAGAAAGGATTAATTCGTGACATTGAAAACAGAAACTTTGCCGAGATGTTTGAGACGCAATAACTCAAGGACGTCAACGTATTATTCTCACTGCGCCATGCCACACAAAGGATGCGGGAATGCCACGCGCGTTTTTCGGGTCCTGGTTGCGAGCCGTTGGCATAAGCGATGGCATAAACCAGGAACACTGTACGCGAAACGCCCACACACGCACACGCGAATGGGTCGTTGGCCCCTGCCGCACATCCAGGATGTATATTTGGCTGGGATACCTGTAACGATACCAGCGATCCTATATTTGGCTAGTTGCAAACAAATCTTTGTACTTTTGCACAAATCCTCACCCCCTCTACATAAATTACTTCTTAGAGACGATTTTTCCATTGCCATTGTCGTGATTATCTGCTTCCTGGTAGAGAACACACATCTTGGAAGACGTCGTGATGATTAATAATGAAAATAGCAATCTAAAAAAAAGATTACAGTTAATATAGTAATTTTGTTTATTAACAAAACTGAACAAAAATACATAAATATATAAAATAAAATAAACGTGAAATGTCCATTAAATATCCGCCACGAGTATGTCGACAGGCCTATTTTGCTACTAAAAAAACAGAATCTTGAAACCCCCTTTTGAAAAACCCTGTATTCCTGTCACCAAAAAAAAAAAAAAAAAAAATACAATCGCTGCAATCACGAAGGGATTAACGACGGGGCTATTTTTTTCTCCAATTTATTTCCATAGACAACAATGAAAACGAAACCATTGTTTACGTCCACGTGGAGTTCGGTGGGTTGCACCTGAAAGTGTTCCGAGTTCGCTTTTTTCTACGCATCCTCCGAATATCAAGGAGCCTCGAAGAACTCGATACGCTTTAGTTAGGTGAGCCATTCCGAAAGGCAGGTGGTTTCGCCCACCTGGTCGTGACGCTCCCTCGCATGTCTCTCCTTTTTTTTTTCTTGCTGCTTGATTTCCTTATTCGGAGGATATCGTGTTATTGCGTCTCCTCGCATCTTCCTCAATTCATGCATAGTCGACCAGTGACAAGGTTTTCCTGGAGTTCGTCATGTGTTCCCATCGAAGCTAGTAATACGATAGACGGTACGTAATAAATAATACGTGCTTCCCTGTTGGCTAGTTGCGCCGCAGTCGTTTAATTATTTATACCCTTATGTGCACTATAGCATATGCCGCTAAATGCAGACTGCCACCGAATGAATGATGTACTTGTGGGAGGATATTATGACAGAAAAAGTGAATTTTATTACTAGACCGCGGATGTTTATGCTTTTATGTTGAACGAAAATGTGGGTAGATCTATGAGAATGTCCTCAAATGCAAGAATATACGAAATATCAACAATAATATACATGATATACCGTTTAAAAGATAAGACATATTTTCGTTCAAGTTTCAAAGTTTTTCCTATATCTGCGAAGACACGAATTTGCATAAACATTCGCAGTCTTTCATTTATGATCTACGATAAAATTAAAATATGTGGTTCTCTTTGCTAGCTCTTGTATGGATTGAATTTTGTTGAACGTTTTTATTGCGCTAATATTTGAAACTGAACAAGGATAGACGAAGACACTAACAAAGAAGAAAGAGGATGAAAAATTAAATAAGAAAAAGGAATTTAAATTTGTAATTTGTTGAAGGTGAAGAACGGCGCTAATAAATTTAAACTATAAGAGGACTAACGAAGAGAAACTGAAGAAGAAGAAAGGAGAAAAGAAAACGAAGAAAGAGGAAGAAAAGTTAAGAAATGAAATGGAGTTTAAACTTGTTGAAGGTGAAGAATGGTGGTTACAAATTTAATTTACAAAAGGACTAATAAGAAGAAAATAGAAAAGAAAACGAGGAAAAAAGACAAGAAATTAAGAAAGAAAAAGGAGTTTTTGTTTAAGATGAAGTGCGGCGCCAATCACGATTCCTCTCGTCCAAACCGATGATCCGTGGAACAAGACGACAAAAATATTTTCCTCACGGATTTGTTTTACAACCCATACGGTGCCATATACGTTAGACGCTCACTATATCGTATTACACGCACGTTACACTTGCGTACGTGAATTGTAAATTACGGAAGATCGTGTCCGAAGATGACCTAGATACCCAACGGGCTGCAAGAAAGGGCATCGACGTCAAGCTGGCATGCTCGGGTTCTTTATGCTCTCTCGGAAAGGGAAATAGAGAACGACTGGAAAAAAAAGGGTTCGACGGTCACCACTTCCTTTGCACGCCAAAATTCCCGCGGTCCCCGGGGACGTTGAAAGCCGTGAGAAAAAGGAGGACAGAATGGAAGTGTCCCGTGGAAAATGCTCGGTACAACCCTATCGAAATTAATTGGTTTTTGTACGCGTGGCAGGGCATTGTCTAACCTTTCATTGGTTCAGTAGCTATTCAGGCAATTATTATGGTAAACGTTTTCAAGCTTGCAGTATAAACAGTTCTAAAATTTCAGATGTGTTACACAGGGTGTTCGGTAAATGGCGAAAAGGGGGGCGATTCTACATGAAAAAATATGTCGAAAATATAAAGTAGAAACGATTCATGTGAAGCTTCGTTTACGTGAAAATCGACTTTGAATTTTTGACGGGTACAGTTGCACTTGATCGCTTCGAAATAATTACACAATTTTATTAATGGTTTCGCAGGAGGGATTCTAGTATTTTGTTTTTCGATAAAAGACAAATGGCATAGAATATAAAGAATACATACAGGATGTTCCAGAAACAAATACCTAAACTTCGATTTCCAAGTAGAATACTTAAGAATTCTGTTTTTAAATAAATGCTGTGCAATATATCCAACTGTTCGATTCTAAATGGAAGTACACATGATTACAATTAAACGTGAAAGAAGATGTCTAAGTGTCCAGCACATGGGCAGAGGTGTATCTACTTATTAAAAAACCAAAACCTAAAACCCTTTTCGAAAAATCCTTAATAATTTGTACACATTTAACCTTCATATTTTTAACTTTTTATAGATGGCAAACTACCGCGTCAAAACATTAAAATAAAAATGCTTCTTTGAACCTATCTAATATTCTGCTTCATTTTTCTATACTCAAGGATCCTTGTTAATATTTTTCGAACCAATTACAACTCTCTCAAGTTACTTAAGAAAATTTAATCGTTCGCGTCGTTCGTGGATGCTAGATGCAACACGCGACGTTCCACGATCGTTATTCCGCTGGAGCAACGATTAACGTATCTCCGTTTTTGCATATGTTTCAGGGGTAACGTTCAAGGCGCATAGGTTGATCCTCGCAGCATGCAGCAAGCACTTTCAAGAGCTATTCGAAGGAATGCCTCCTTCTCCGGCGGGACTGATCGTTATTCTCGACGGGACGAGTGCCCACAATATGGCCTCCCTTCTTGAATTCATGTACCGTGGCGAGGTACACGTGTCCCAGGAATCTCTCAGCTCTTTCCTCAAAGCGGCCGAATGCCTCCAAGTATGCGACTTATTCCGTTTTCTCTGAAATAATTGCCCCCGAATAGTAGTCACGTGCGCCGAGACGCGGACGCGCACTTTGCATTCCTCGGTGAACATCTTTTTTTATTTTTGGCCACGATTAATGGTCAGGAGTTCCTGTTTTAAACCACGACTGGAGGAACGAGACGACCCTAATCCCTATGCTCGCTAGAAAAACGGAGTCGATTCGAATATCATACGAAACGCCCGACGTTTCGTTGTAATAGACAAATTGTGCGGTGAAAAACTGCAGCCTGGCGCTTTTTGATAGTATTTGTTTTGATGAAATGCGAGGTGTTGCTGTGTTAATTTTTCAGTATTTATTTCACGAGATAAGAGATGTTGTAACGTTACGTTGCTGTCAATATTTGTTTCGTGAGATACGCAAGCTCTTTTCTTGCAGAACACATTAAAATAAAAGTAACAGATAATCGAACAATGAAAATTGATTAGAAGATAATGAACATATTACAGAGATTAATCGTAAAATCTTACAAAAATTCTACCTTAGCAGTGCTTAAAAACACCTGTGTACATTTTACTCAACGCTGAGTTCTTGAAAACACATGCAATGATTAAAAACACGTGTCTTGTTACGGACATAAATTAATCGTATAAGTTTCCACACAATACTCCAAAATTATTACTATAGTTATTATTAGTCGTACATGTATTCATTTTAACCAGTCACCAAGAATCACCTCGAAAATTATTATTTTGATATCATTTTCATAATACTGCAATCTTAGATATCTCTGTTGCATGCAATGCACTAAAAAATATATAATGTGCAACACCTGCATTCAGTTATCTATAAAAATGCGTTTACCTTTCTCAGTGACTCAGGTCATCTTTGCCTCACCGACGATCCTTTTATCGACACTTCGAGTTCCAAAGAAATTAAACCTAAACAAGCATTATTTTTGGTTGATTTACCGCATCGAACCTAGAGTCATCTCTCGAGTGCAAAGGGTTAAAAAGTATGACCCACATAAACCCTTTTATGCCCTCTCAATAAACGTACCACCGTATCAATTACAATTTCGAAACCAAGAAACCTCCAATCCGTTACGTAACGTTCCCAATGGTTCCCCAAGAAAACGGCCTTGACGGAACCTTGGAGACCTTTCTTTCGTCTTATGCAACAACAACTTTTCAAAATGTCGGTTCGATTTTCAGGTAAAAGGTCTGTCCATCGAGCACGAAAAACTGGCGGTGGCGCAGAGGCACGCCGCGGAGAGCAACAATAACTCGTCCACGGAAACCGCGGGTAGCGGAAGCGGTGGAGGTGCCGTGACTGCGAGCGAAAATGGCGGCGGCGTCGGCGGTAACGTGGGTGGTAGCGTCGGCGGCGGTATCGGCGGCGGCGTCGGCGAGGTGAGCGACTTGAGCGAAGCGGGTGAAGCAACCATGGTGAGAAACACCATGAAGAGGACCCCCACACCGGCACCGTCGCCCGCCCCTGCCTACACCGTGCCCAGCGTCTACTCTACCTCTCACTATTACGAAAGTCCTCCGAAAAGGCTGATGAGGTAAGTGCCCTTCCACCTTGCCTCGCGAAGGACTCGCGAGTGAAATTTTCAAATGGTACCTGGCAGCCATTATGGCGACCTTCGCGCGTTCCGAGACCCATACAAACAGACGGTCGATTTTAACGTTAGAATTATGGAGGTTCCAAGTGTCTTTACTGCATTGTTTTCTTTCTTTTTTTCTTTTTATGTTTACTTTCTAAGAATTTTTTGATCACGTTCGTACCTATTAACGGAGTAAATTAGATGTACACGAAAGTTGCGAATCTATTAACACATTGTTGACCGGTAATTTTACACAGAAGGACTTTATGTCACCGGCTATTATTTCGTAATTTTATGTGAAATTAAAATAATTTATGAAATGATCTTCGATGAACCTTATTTAATATATTTTACCAATATAATGAATTGAGATGAAATATTTTACATACATAACGCGATGAGCAATATTCTATATCGCCCTGGGCTTCGTTAATTGAAATAGATAATGCAAATGCAAACGTGAGTTCACTCGTGACCAGCCAATTTATGTTTTAATATCAATTATATCATTTATGTTTCGATATTTATTTTGAACACTTTTTTACGAATTACATCAAACACGCGCGACATATAATTCGAATTCATAAATGTATATAGTCAAATGAATATCGAATTCAATAGATAATTATTAATATTTAAATTAAATACCCAACCAATCTAATAAATAAACAGGTTTGTCGGATTGGTGAGTATTTAAATACCAATTAAGTATATTATTTATACATTGTTGATATATTAATCCATAAAATGAGGCATTAATTAGTGAACTAATTACACTGTTATTTATTGGTAATATCGATATTTATTCATGAAGCATTTATGAAAGATTAAAAAAAGTTGGAGTATAAAGGTTTACGACGAAGAAGGTTCTTCTTTATTGAATTTTGTTTTGTTTTAAGAAGTCATCCAACGTCATTTGCCTTTATTCCTTTGAATTTATAAATATAAATATACCCTTGAATTTATTATTAGATCGCCCAGTGACGTTGATTCTTTGGGAAGGGCGAGTGTGTTACGCGACGGCACTGCCTTCCGGCCCGCATCCGCGCCACATCCGCTTCTTCTGGAGAACCACTTCTATCAACCGTTCACCCACCCCTCAGAGACGCCCGCACATCCCCACACCGCGCCGCACACACCAACGGAATTGGAACAGGAATTGGAACGATCGAGGTCCGAGGAACGTAGCAATTGCGATCTCAAGGAAAGCGTAGCTGAAGGTAAAGACCATTTTTAATTACCTTATCACACTTCCTAGTATACTTGTACAAAGATATCCTTTCAATCCTTTGGCTCGCGAACGATGTTCACAAAAAATCGGAAAATCTGGAACCATTCTGGATGTTGGAGTCTTATTTTACCGATTTTTTAAATCTATGTTGCACACGCCCCTCAACGCCTTGCAAATACATTTAAAAAATTCCTGCAAAATTCAAGCTCTTGATCTTAACATTAACGGCTGCTTTAAACTTTCGAAAGTGTTAATTGGAAAATATATGGAATTTTATCGATCGGTTACTTTTGTTTATAACTCCGATAAAAATTGACGAAGCGATTTCAAGTTTGGGTAGAGTTATTAGTTCAGATTTTTCAAAACGTGAATCTAATCGATTTGTACAGTGAACGGATCGTATGTCAGAAGTGAGCGGATTTTAGCCATGCGTTTATATTTTCGCGCAGATCTTCGGATAAAGCAAGAACCGGTGACGCTGACCGATCGCGAGAGGGCAGAAAAATTGGCGGAAAGATTGTCAGGCGAAGTTTACTCTAGTGGAAGGGGGTTCGATGGGAGTCATTATGGCTCAAATTCGGACCACATGCAGCACGGCGCGCAAATGGGTTCCGCGATGGTGCCGTTGCCGCCGGCTCATCCACCGACTCCTGATCTCAGTCCTGCACCCACCACCCCCGCTATGTGGAACACGAAGATCAACAAGGCTGGCACTGTCACCACTCCTGACGGTAAGTGGAATAATTCGACAACCATTTATCGTTAAATAATATCAATTTTGTCTTCATTTTACTTACTGTACTAAGTAATTACATAGATATGGTTTCATTAGTACTAGACCAATATAGGAACAATGTTATTTATTTACTTTCATAACGTTTCAACGTAATGATACATTTCTTCATCATGAATGAAATAGTTGAAAATATTTCTCTTCAAAGATTTATTTTTAATTTGTCTAAAAAGGATAAATTTATATGTATATGAAGTAATCTCAATTGTACTTAAGAGTACACCGCTATGGTTCGTAATATTTCATAAATTTGATTCTAAAGCCTCTGCAACTCGCTGAATAATTAAAAGAAAATTCGTATGATGTTCTACGTTTAAAGCAAAAGACGTAGGTGATATGAAAAATAATAAGCTACGGCAAAATTAATACCGCATTTAAACGACGAAATTCTAAAATTATTCCAAATCTCTAAAAAACCTTAATTTTTCTATCACAAACATTCCAATAACTTTTTCAACCCCCATTATACTGGAATTTTATATAAAATACCGAGTATGCGTAAATTTTTTAAGGAAACCGTCAAATTAATTGTCTGTCAGTAGCCGAGGAGATTGAAGATTCCAGTAAATTGTATCTACTTCATAACTGACTTTATTGAACTAGTGTAAGTAGAAGAGTAAGTGTGAAGAGAGATAATGCGTATTTGTCAAGAGAGGCTAGACGATATCGTTGGCTGATTTTCTTGTTTACTGTAATCGTTGGTCTGACCAAGTGACACCCATAATGAAACTAGGTTTCGCGCTGATTTCGAGCTGAAAGTTTGAATAAGCTAATAAAATGTTAAACTCGGAATACGTCTGATAAAATTAACATAACATAAAATGAGAAAAGCGAGTAGAGAGATTGCATTGGTTCCTATTAAAAAATCGCGTGGAGTAATAAATAACAGGTTATGATGGCATCATCGTAAAAAATGAGAAATAAACATATACAAGGCGTTCCAGAAATAAATACCTAAAGTTTGTTTTACCAGTGGAAACCTTTAGAATTGTTTTTTAATACATAATATACATCATTAAAATTAAAGATGTTGCTCAAGTGTCCACCATAATTGCACTGATATACGTACTTTGTTATTAAAAAACAAAATTCAAAATCCCCTTTAGCACAACCCCTTCTTATGAATATTTTTTATTTTTGTTATTAAAATTCTATCTTTCTATCACTTTTTATTTTCTAATATATTCAGTCACAGCAATCACTCTCTCTCTGAATACTATCGAAGAAAGGAACTGTCTCTTAGATATACAAATTGTGTAACTGTACATTTAATTATTTATGACTCTATTTTAAATAGAAATATTTACTGGCCATTTTGTTGCATTAAAGTATCAGTATTCATAATAACGAAACAGACAATTCTTTCGACATTTGGTTTTACAACTACATGTAACGTAAGGAAGATTAAAAGTTGCCTGGTTTTTGTTTATAAATAAATGGTAAGTTCATCTCGGTAAAGCCCAGAATTAATGTCTACACCTAATATAACTCTACCGTTCCAAACTCTCGAAAACAGCATGACAATCTCCCACTGTTTATACACTTAATTTTTAGAAACCCTGTACAAATTCGAGAATCATCGTCCAGTTATGTTTATTGGAATTTTCGCGAACGCGGCACGTGTCGCGAGACTTATCGTCAAAGCGCAGAACGCATGTGTAAAACGATTAAATTCGAGCATACATCGAGAACACCAAAGATATTGTTTCTGAAGGCAAAACTTCGGCGATATCAACGCGAAAATATTCGCTCACTTCGCGTTCGGTCGAATCGCCAAATGAAATCGTTCGACTATCGTGCGAGTAATTAAAATTCCGCGATAACGAGTACCTAATTATTCGCGGCGATGATCCCCTCGGTCATAACCGAGCCGAAAAATGATGTCAGAGTATTATCTGGGTTAACGCGAAAGCAAGGTCTACCGAATCTAATGTTACAAAATGCACGGCTAATCGTTGCATCATCGGCTGCACGTGGAGAGCTTTCTTGATGTTGCAACTCGCGTCTCTCTCGTCGTTTTCCCTTTCCAGCTGGATCCGCTCTCCTCGATCCTTACGAGGCGTTTGGAATAGTGATTCGGGCTGGGATGATTTAAAAATGCAGGATGAAAGTACGCCTATACCACGATTTACATGGAAGATCGATTCCGAGGAATATCGTGTTCATCGTAATCGTGGTCTTGGTAGGGAAAATCATGTGAATCGAAAAAAAGGCGAATAATTTAGGCAATTATTTAATTATACGTATTTTAATGCAGATGAAAGTAAAATGTAAGTGGAATTTAAAAAAGTAGTAATCCATTCATGAAATAACAAACATACCTTGTATATTATTATAGATAGTAATTAATATATTTATACATAAATACAAATATAGGTAATTTTTATTTTAAATCATGAGCACGAATAAGTTTGCAAAGAAAACAAGTAAAAAGAACGTCATATTTATAGAAATCAAAACAGTAATCACGAAATAGATCATTAATACAGGTATAAAAATACAAATACAAATTTAGATAGATATTCATATAAATATATATATTTTTTATTTCTCTATTGAATCATGTCATATCTATAGAAAATAATAATCATGAAATATACATAAAATATAAATATGGAATACAACTACTTAATATACGACGATACAACTATACTTCATGATTTTTATTTCGGTTTCTATAAACACGACGTTCTTTTTACTCGTTTTCTCCTGTATCTTCTCGATGCTTAGGATTTAGAATAAAAATAAAATTAAACCTTCGTGGGAAGAACAGTGAAAATATCTAATAAATTATTCTCTACGGAACTCTCTGCAGAAGTTTTCGAGTTATAAAGAGTTACAGAGGTTTCACCGTAATTAATAAAAAAAGCGAAAGGAACACCAGGGCCAACCCAACATAATCGCCAAATGTTTCATTCACTGTTCGAATATTCGAATGGAGAAAAATGCGTAAAATCCCGCAGACCTCTCGCGGTGGCCGCCGCTTAAGAAACATTCGTTCAGAAAAAAAGCCTTTCTCTTTCGGCCCTGCTTCCTCGGTCTTTTCCTCTTCCGTGGACACAGCCGAGCCCCCCCTTGTCCCTTTCCCTGCCCGTCTCCTTTTCTCGTGACGCGGCTCAGCTCGAGCACGGTTAATGTCAATAACCGTTGCATTAGTTGCCGGTTCGCTTCTTTCTTTACCGCCGCGGCTGGCCGCTCATCTAGCACCGATTAAAAATGGTTAAAGCGTCGTTCGCGACGTCGGCAACGATCATGGACCGGCGACCGTTGTCTCGGTGTTGGTTTAGCCCCAGGCCAACCCCTACGTGGCCAGTTTTACGTGGCGTCGCGGCGTCACGCCCGGTGATTTGCTCGTCGGAGCAAAAGATGTTCCCAGTGGCTGCACCGTTGTCGCCTGCATCCTCTTTGTACACTTTGTTCACACCGTGAAGGCGAGGACGGCCACCGTCGTCGTAAGGTATAGCCATAGCGCCCCCCCCCAGGTGGGTGTCGACCGAGGAGCGTCCGTGAATCGTGACTAACGGCGTCGGTTGCTCTCTTTCTGTCCGTCGGGATGCCGTCGAAGGGTGGACCGGAGAACAGTGGTCCTGATTGAGATATTTGGTAACGTAGGGCTGAAAATTCATATAAAAATTTAATTCTTCGTATGAATCACATTTTTTTTTTTTTTTTTATTAAATTTTGTTAATTCCTTTATTTTCGAAGTTGATGGAAATTGAGGAAACAATATGAATTTATTAAATTATGATAGAATTGTAAAAATTTGATACAACTTTAATAAATTCATATCGTTTCCTAAATTTCCATCAACTTCGAAAATAGAGAAATTAACAAAATTTAAGAAAAAATGTGATTCATACGAAGACTTAAAGTTGTATATTCTGAATATAGCAGAAAATTATACCACCGAATTGTCTTTGTTGTTCCCGCTCCTATCTTTATCCGCCATTAATCCATCTACGCTAGATTTTCTCTCAATTTTATTTATTTATTTTCATATATTTTCCCACCCCTGCTAAATAATTCTCAACGTGTGTTAAATCGAAGTCTTAAATATCATTTATATTCACACTTTTTTCATCACCATCAAATTGTCTCTCCTCTTCTCTCTTTTATCTTTATCGTCCACTGATCAATGACAACTGGGTTGTCCCCAATTTTTCTTTCTTTATTTTCGTCTCTTTTCCAACTCTGCCAACTCGACTTCCTGTACTGTATCTTTACTTTATTCGTCTATCCATTATCTTATGGTCCGCGCGTATCGTTCGATTCCTTCTTAATTCCATAAAAAAAACTCAAGAAACGATAATTAAATAGTAATATTCCAATAATGATGTCCGAATGATAATATTCTAGTAATAATACTCTTTCCTTTTTAACCCAATAAACAAAACGCAAGTAACGATAATAGTAATATTCGAGTAGTAATACATTAACTTTATTCGTAGTATTAGAATACCTCTGAATTATTTGAGCATTGAATTATGGAAACAGTTCGAGCCCTACGTTAGAGCGAAGCGTTAACGGTTCGACCGAATTGTCACAGCTTAGTGAGAACCGAAGACCGTTTCGAAATTGTTGGACCATTCTATTAAAGTACAGTTATGCTAGCTTTGATTTTGTCGTTAGGAGTTAGGTTTTTGTTAGAGGCTGCCCGTCGACCACGTCACGCACTCTTTCCACCGTGAACGATTCGGCTTGAAAGTCGCAATAGGAATTCGAATTTTTCACAGAAATCGTACACGCTGTGTGTTCCAACTATTAAACTATCTCGAAATTGTTCTTCACTTTTGTGTCTCAGTTCGGTCATTTTTTTTTTTTTTTTTTTTTTTTTAAGATTTCTTATAGCGAGCACATTGTAAGCGTAGCTTCTAATATTTAAGTTTTCTGTTTTTCATTCGAGTTAAGAACATTTGTTTCGTTACCATATTTATTTAA